TGTGTGTCTATGTCCAAGCAAACTTTTTAAACTTGAAAAAATTTACTAAAAAATAAAAATTCCCGAAAAAATGGTCCCTAGATTTTATATTAAGAAAATTTTTATGTACTTAATTTTTATCGTATTTGTACAATTGAAATGGTTTCTATTATTATGGTCATGGGCGTATATGTACATATGTATGATAATGATAGCACCCGTTTTGCGCGTAACAGGTTTTGATTAAGTTCTTAATTCTTATCTGTGAAGATTTAACTTCTTTATAACAGCTGAAAACCTGTTGCCATTAATTTAGAAAGCCGATTCTTAATAACAAGTGAAAAAATTCGATTGAACTTGAAACTAGAAAATCACAGAGTGTTGCCATAGTAATAAATACAAATTCTTTAAAAAAACCATTGCGCTGTAGACATTTAAACAAAAACATATACGGATAAGATCTCATACTGAAAAAATATGCAAACAAAGCAAGACTTCTATTTTAAAGGCTCTTAAAAAAGGCTAAAAAAAAATTACGCATACGTCGGCAGATTACGCATTCACGGTAAAAAATACCCTCCCCCACTTTGCAATTGAGCTTCGAACTCTCTGTGAAAACTTCAATACTACTAGGTGAAGTGCAATAGAGAGCTTCAGAAGAGAAATTGGTCTCTTTGGGCCAAGTTTGAACACAACTGTCCGTGCTGCCTGAATGAAAATCAAATATTTTCAGAATATTAGCTCTTGATACATCACGAATCAATAAATAGTGCAAAAATAGAGATACAAAAAATAGCATGAATGGCAAGGAGTATAGTTACGGTGACCGTCCGTACTTTATTTTAAAGGACATTCCTTTATTTTAACCGCCTATCCTTTATAATTGTTTTCAAAATAAAATACTCCATTTGTCCTTTATTTCTTAAACTGTCCTTTGAGTAAGCTTTGGATTTTTCAGAGCTCAATTATTAAACAGAGAATATGAAAAAACAAAAATGTCCCTCAAAAAATATAATGAAAACCTTCGCCAGTTTGTCTCGCAGCCCACTTTAGGAAGCCCACAAGTTGTGCCCAGGAACGCGTTGCACGCTGAGTTTCCAGTTCCACTGAAAAAGAGCAATAAACCTCTGCTGACTCCGTCGTGTAGACGAAAGGATGGCGAAGTCCCTGATAAAGATTTGGTTTTATTTTTCGGAATCGGTTAAAATCCAGTTACAGTGCCTTTCGAGAAGGGGACAATTTAGTAATATAATTGACTGATATATATTTGATTTTTAACATTTTTTTTATTTTTATTATTGAGCTTTGTACCACGATTGTTTATTAGGAAAAATTTAAAAAGCAAAAAGGTCTAAGCGGTAGAAGTTATAGCAGCTATTTCGGAGATCACCACATCTCCTCATCAGACTTCTTCTTTTCTTCTAGACTTCAGCAGGGATCGAACCTGATATATATTTGGTCTAAATTACGATCATACAAGTTCGATGTACGTATTCCCAAATCATTTTGGAAAAATGTCCTTTATTTTACGTTGGTTAATATAGTCACCGTAAGTATACTCGTATATCTAAGACAAAGGACGGGAATGTTTTCTGTCGAAGGCCTTCTCTTTGATGAATATGCTCGAAAATAAATTTTTAGTTCATTCTGGGAGATGTCGCACAGTGGGACGTCCACATATAAGCTGCGGCTAACCGTACTAGAAATGCACTGAAATTTCGTATATGCGCTATTCGACGCTTAGGAATGAAGAAATGTGGAAAATAGTAAAATTCAAAGCGCTACCACGCCCAGAGCTTTTGTGGGCGGAAATTCTAAATGTTATAGGAGTTTGATGAAATTCAGAGCATATGCTGGTTTTAACGAAAAAAGTATAAATCTGAAGGAACGTCAAAATCTAGAAAATTTGGCGCAAATTGAAAAAAAAATATTTTTTCATGAAATTCGGTGGTCCTACTCGTTTAAGCCTAAATTTTCCAACTTGGAAGATAATGAAAAGTTTCTTATTATGACGCCCACCTCCTACACTGAAACATTTATTTCATAACGTCGCATTCACAAAGACCCTAACTGACAGGAATTCTAAATAATTGATTAAAAAATTAATATTGTTTTAAATTATGTTAGGTATTGATATTTAACATAAATTCCAACAATAATTTTCAATAAGGATTTTATTATTGCAATTATATTACATTTTATGTCTCTCCTAAAAAATATAAATTTTGTTTTGTTGTTTTTATGTCCGGCATTTCTGGGTTAATCAATTTAGAACCATAAGTCGAATGAAGCTTCGTCCTAACTGACTTATGCAAATGAAGTTACACGAGTTGATTTCATAAAATTATATGCAACGAACAATTAAAATGTCACTGCAAATGAAGTTTTGAATTTGTTTGAGTAAGTATTGGCCTCGCTTAGAGCTTTAAGCCAATTCAATCGTTATCTTACCAATGCAAACCTCGTTTCTCTCTTCGTCAAATTAGTATTATCTGATTTATCTGATAAGTTCTCTCACCTGAAAGAAAAACAAAAAACCGCAATTATAAATTAGTTTGTGGACTGTAAATAATTTGCACTTAATAATAAAATTGTATGCAAATAAAATATTTTCGTAATGTATTTCGCCAAAGCGCACAAAATTGTTTAGAACAATTTATGCATAAACTTTTTTTACGGTAGTAAAATTTCTTATAAATAAATATGTATTTTACAAGCATTTACTAATTAAAAACGTAAATATTCTAACTTTAGCAGCTCAACAAGCTTTCCATTCATAATCTAATATTTTTCTTATTTTTATTTACAGCTCTCGTCAGACGTCACCTGGTCTGCCTCGTGTGGCACTTGCATACCTTTACAATGAGCAAGCGCAAAAAGCTACTGCAACGATTCACAGCGTGATACTTGAAGAATAAAATAAAATCAACTTCCCCAAGCCAACAAACCAAACAACAATCGTATTTTTTTCTTAAAATTCAACCACAAAATACTTCGCGCACTCGCACAACTTTAGCGATCCAAAGAAAATGGTACTCAATCTACTCTTCATTACGACTGTGATAAAGTCCACTTTCGGCGTGGTCACCACCGGCCTCTGGCTCATACCGCTGCTCCTCGCCGCCATAACCTACTACCGTTACGACAGTGTCGATCCGGAGGCAAGGCCAATTGATCAACTAAATTTATATACCGAATATGATTTCATCATAGTGGGTGCCGGTTCGGCCGGTGCAGTGGTAGCTAATCGCTTGACGGAGATACGCAAATGGAAGGTGTTACTCATTGAAGCGGGTCCAGATGAAAATGAGATCTCCGACGTACCATCTCTAGCAGCATATCTCCAGCTGAGCAAACTCGATTGGCAGTACAAGACGCAGCCCTCCAACAAAGCCTGCCTCGGCATGAAGAATAATCAGTGTAACTGGCCGCGTGGTAAGGTGCTCGGCGGTTCCAGTGTGCTGAACTATATGCTCTATGTGCG